GTAACTGGGTACACATCATCGAAAGTTGGCTGTAGCTAGGAAGGAGATGAAAAAGGACGCTGCTGAAATCAATTACACTACTTCGCGTAATCACAATCACTCGAGTGAGGGTATAGCACAAATGTGTCGGATGAAATACACATTAAAAGTTCATATGTTGCTTGTCCTATTCTGGAATCTGCTTACAATGCCTGAGAATAAATGCATTTGCTAGTTAGATTATACTTACTTCTTATGTACGAAGAACGTTTGTCAAGTGGCACATATAAATAGAAATTTTCGAAAAATCATTGGCGACGCGCATTAGGCGGGCCCGTGCGATCATGCGTTTTTGCAGCATTTTTTGCTGGAGCAAGATCGCTTGGGACCCAAGCAGCTCAAATTTTTGACATACTGGCCCTCGAAGTTCAGGATGTTAGTTATTCAACTGTGCAACTCCTGAATTAGCAACTTTTCCACAGGCCCGTACGTGAGAACCACGCATAGCTGGGGCTGACTTTGAAATGCTTGAATTTCACGCGGACGGGGGAACATTCTCTCAAAATTTTAGCTTTTTAGCTTTTCTGGTTTTCCGGTTTCCTACGCAAGGCCCAGACATGCATGATGGTTTATAATGCGGTCCTGCGGTGGCACTTAGCCGGAGAACTCACTGGCAGAATTTTAGCGCCGGAGATTGCTTGGTTGCCAAGTTGAAATACTCGGACAGACGTACACACACAAACATAGACACAAACACACACGCACATCATGGTAGTCACGACACGTTTTTAATGCGTTTTGTGCTGTGTAACAGCAGTACAAACACACTGGGGTTGCCTGTGTATGTGTTTGTGTGTATGCGTGTGTGTATATTTGTGTGTCCGCAGCAACTTGTCGCGGCTTTCAACTCGAGAACCACAAAAGCTAGGAAACTGAAAATTTAGGAGAATGTTCCCCACTCACGTGTTACCCCGTAAATTTAAACTCAGCCTCCCCATACGCACGGGTAACACGTACGGCTTCGTAAAGTTTTGGCGGGGAAAATTATTATCTCGGGAACCACGGGAACTAGAAAGCTGAAATTTCATAGGTACGTCCTCTGCCCACGCGCGATCCAGAAAATTTAAATTCAGTCTTCCCGAGCCTGCGGGTGGCATATACAGACCTGTGAAACTTTTGGCGGGTAAATTATTATCTCGAGAACCACAAAACCTAGGAAGCTGAAATTGAGCGTAGCGTCCCCTGCCCGCGCATGATCCCGTAAATTTTCAATGTCCCTGTGGAAGTTTTGGCGAAAAAAGTCATCATCTCGGGAGCCAGAAGAGTTGGGAGGCTGAAAATTTCAGGAGAATGTTTCCTGCCTAAGCAGGAGTTTCACAAACTCGAATTCAGTTTCTTAGTGTGCCGAGATCTCACGTGCGACCACGTGAAAGTATTGTCGCAAAAACCACTCGAGAGCAGAAAATCAGGAGATTGAAAAATTTTGGAAGGATATTCACCCTCCGAGTTCTAAATCCAGTTTTCATGTGCCGTTGCGTGAAATTTTTAGTGGGGATTCCGCAATTTTCGAACTCTTTTTGCACAGACCAGAGTGGAAAGCAGTAAAAGTATTTAGCAGACAATCGTTCGGTGGACGGAACTGCACAAAACTTATGATCACACCGGCTGCCCTCATGCGCTTCGCTATTTATTTGCACTTGCATATATGCAAAAACGCACAAATAAGAAGCAAAGAAAGCTACTTTTTTTGTAATTATTGCAAAAAAGAAACTGGCCTGGAAGCGCTGCGCCAATGCAAAATTTAAGGCAGTCTTTTTCAGGAGGTGTAGGGCTCTTTGAAGCTACTCGGACTGCTACCTACTGGAGGGCGAAAAGTCAAATTTAACGTGGGAGATTGAAACACAAGGAGCCGTGATGCCGGAGCTTGTGCGGGCGCAGTCAGCAGTGGTACTTCGACCATCCTACACCACAACGGTATTGCCTATTCCAACATCTTTAGTCTAATTCTCATTCACTGATTCGTCGCTAATCTCATTTATTGTATGTGATTGCTGCTAGAAAGTCAAAGACTGCAAACAAAGACAAGTTATGGATATTACAGATCTATCGAACACGATCGGTGCCAGATTTCAGCTTATACAGTCGCTACACTCCGCGATGGCCGTATCGATACTACCGAGACTGGGACCTGGTAAAAATATTGCGCTGCCCCTCTTTCTGTACTAACTTAGCTGCTCTCGCTGTCATTTTTCATTTACATCGAAGCGTACTCCCGCAAATCTCCAGAAATTATCTGACATCCTCAGTTATTTTCGAGCTTCAAACACTTAAGCTATAATTCATGTGCAGCTAAAAATGATTCTGATTCGAATCAGTACAAGCAAATGGATTTCCCTTAAATGAAGCGTTTCCTTGTACGCATGTGAGACCTAGGTGTACCTAAGAGTTGAATTTAAAATCTTTAGGTCTCAAATGGGCATTAAATATCCTAGTAAATATTACGCTTAGCTCGACTGGTTGCCGAAGTCGCTCGCGCCAAAAATATCTTTGAAATGTCCGAACGCACGGTTACAGGCATGCGCTAAAATTTATTTTATGCGTAAGGCCTGCACATGGACACAGATATTCTCGTAAAATTAGAGTTTTCTATTTAATCTGATTTGGCGTAGTACCAGCAGCATCTTAATCTGAAATATGACGTGCTCGTCCACGTAATTTTGGTATACGCGACAACTAAACTTAAAATTTTTGCTGAACTTGAAATTTTTAAGTCGCTGATGAACAGAGAATATCTTTGTGAAATTGTGCTTCCTGTCTTGTCTGGTTCCCGAAAAAGTTTTCCTTTCCAAACGTTTTCTCATTTTTTAGAAGCTTACGCTTGAAACGCGAGCATACGCAATGAATCACTTTAGGTTTAGAGGTTCGCGCATGAATCGGAAATAATTTGGAAGAATTTCAGCTTGCCAGCCTCTCTGGTTGCTGACTAGAAAGTAGGTAATGAAATCCGAACACATAGACACAGATATGCACACACACGCACAAATACACACACACACACACATACAACCTTCCGAGAATATACATTTCTTCGTTGCTTTAATTATGCAAAAGCACGTCAAAATCGAAAAAAATTAGGTTGTTTAGTCGTATAGCTCATCCACAGCGACGCAGAACTGGGCTTCACTAAAAAAACCCAGGCTGGAACGCACCAGGCGGGCCGGAGCGATTATGCGTTTTTGCACTTTCGTAC